AATCTACACTGCTAGGCATATTGCACAACTTCCAGTGAGATAGTTACCAACCTGAACAAATGGACTATTACCACTGTGCATAATAAATTTCAGTTGACTGACATTACCTTCGACAACCCACGTGTGTGTGTGTGAAGAACAAGTGGAAAGCTGAAGTTGCTCTCGGTCAACTGCTGAAGGTTCACAAGCGGACAACGAGGGGGAAGGGATAATATTTTCTCACGCACATCAAAAAAACATCAGTCGATAGCATTCACCGTGCGTGCATTTGGTGAAATATGAGAAGTGTGAGAAAAGTGAACAGAGAACAAAAGCACTAGTGTTCCGCACAGTTCAGCCTTAAAAACCCTTGAGGATGCGCTTGTGTGCAGTGGTTGTGTTTGCTGTCTATTTATGGCCCAATATAGGTAGAACAGAGCAGAAGGAAGATTGGAATGCATCCGACCAGAGTCAAATAGGCTATCGAGAATTCATATAGATTGCGGTTAAATAGAAAATAAGAGGGTAACCCTGACAAAATATCCATTTCTGTGGTGAACTCGGGCGAAAAAGTGCCGTAACCTCGAACTCCGTTTCAGCTATTAGTGTAACAAGTTTGTGATATTGAAATAAACTTCGCGGGCACACTCTTCAAAGAGGCAGTGCCAAAGCGTAGAGCGGCTGACTGAGTCAAAAGCCGCTTTCAGGGTGAGGAAGATAGAAGTGGTGGGTCTATGAAAGGAGTGTGTGTTCTAGAATTTGGCGAAGAGTGAAGATGTGGTTGACGCAGCCTCGACCCTATCTAAAACCAGCCTGATAGGCACTGTTTACGTGCGGCAGACAATCGACGAAGCCCCACACCAACGAGAAGTTGCTTAAACCAGCTGGCACAGAAAAGGGGACAGGCAAATTTCAGGGACGTGTTTGGTGATCGTTTATGCAGTGTGATTCGCATCAACCCATAAGCACCTATGACAGTTCATGCAAAAGGTTAACTCTCAAGTGCCGTTTACCATTTGCAGACCCAGATACGGCACTTTATATCTGGATTGGGCAAGCTAGAATACCACAGAAACTATTATTAGTGAGAAGGGGATTCGTGACAAAGCGAAATCCCGCTGGATGGATCGAAGGACTTCCCAGTACCTCGCCGAACCGGATGCAGAGACCAAACTGCACAATCACTACTAAGGGTGATCGGTGGAGAAACAGCCTTGCTATCTATCTTGTGTTATGTTAGATTTGTGGAGGACTTCGAACATCGTGAGATACTGGACACACAGCAACTACATTACTATACTAGTTGCGAGCAACCAGTTATTGACCATACCATCACAATGAGACCGCACTTATAAGTGGATTGGTATCTTGATTGCCTATATGATCCAGCGGGTTACGCAGGCTGGCACTTCACAGGCGAAGGCCCAATCGTGTCTGAAAGGTCAATTGGTAGAGACCAGACAAAGATCCGTTTCACAAAGCCAGCTAATCGGGCAAACCCTGGCTGCCGCTGACCATACACTCTCGCTCCGTGGAAAGGTCACTTCAGTAAATAAAAACGGGGAGGAGCAGTTTACCGGTCAAAAAACCTCCGATAGATGGGTGAAGCAACGAGGTACCCACGGCTTCGTCCTGACGATGGGAGAAGTCTTCGTACTTCATTAAACAGCAACCGCTCACCCAACCTGGGTAGTCCCCAGCCAACAAAGTGCCGTCCCCTCCATCTTCTACCTGCCTCATTGGGTGCACGAGGCTAAGGGATGATCCCGAACAGTGCACCAGTGGACACACACCAAACCGAAACCCAAAAACGTAGTGTGACAGATCGCCAGAAGCCTCCGCACTGGTGCTTCGGTCACGGTCTCGCATTGCATCACAGCTACGCCTCACCGCCTTGTGAGTCAGACTGTTGAGTCGAAGTTTCCTATTAGAGTTCTTAAAAAAAAGCCTTTCGTTGATACGGGCTACGGCAAAGTATGTCATGCCCTAAAGTCATGGGCAGCCATTTGGAAAAAGGCCCTTTTCCATTTTTCCTCTCATTCCAAATTTTTAGGAGATTAATCCTGTTGGAATATCACTCGGTGTTCAACTGGTAAGGTCAATCAACTGGAAGCTATTAGATTGCTAACACGAAAGTATCATCTTCACTTTTCAGCATTCAATGTCTGCACATTCTATCACACCAACATGTCTTAATTTATAAATTTTCAATTTATATCATAAAGGTGCCTAGGCGATCCACACGCAATCCGAGCTAACCGGACGGACAACGGACATCAACTAGTTCAACTCTGTACAGACCACGGATTGGTGCTATCTAGTACCGGTTCCTGCAACAAGAAACGACACCGCGTTACACGGAAACCCCTTACCCTAGAGTAACGGAATCAAATCGACCACATCACCGTCAGCTGCCGCTGAACTACCAGGCGAATGACTCAGTGAACAGTAAACATCGGATACTGATCAAGGAAGTTATCCAAATGTCGGTCGAATAAACGGCGGACTCTGGTACGCAGACGACATTGTACCGCCAGGTGAAGATCCGGATAAGTTGCAAACTTTTCTGAGTGTTAGGTTTACCACGTCCGACATCCGTTTTGCACCTTCAAAGTGCACATTATTGCAACAAGACTTGGGTGGTCCAGCTCCCAACCTTTCACTCCAACTGGAGAAGTAATAGAAAGAAAGAACACATTTTCCATCTGGGCAGCCACGTCTCACCCGGTGGACACATCACGGATGAAAGTCGGCACGCGTACAGAAGGCGCATGTCGCCAAACGTATTGTCACGGCGCGCATCGTTCGCTAAGGCAAGTGATGAGTGATCAAACCAAGATATGAAATGTGGCTATTAAAATCCTGACCAGCAAGTTGGTTGCCATAGGTCACGTTAGGCTATGTAGCTGGGAACATCGGGATCACTGTGATCACCAACTAGAGACACTGCGTTAAGTGGCTGTGAGTTGTATCCAACGGCCCTCGTACATCTACTCTCCACGTCCTTGCAACCGTAGACATCACGAATTTTCTGCTTTCACCCTGACACTGGTTCGAACATTCCAATCATCTTATTTCACCTGTTCGCCGAGCTTGGCAATTTGTTTGCAAACGTTTCATCACCAGCCGAGGTGACATCATTAGCGCTTGTGAAATGGCACCCTTCTGCTTGTATCCGTTCGTTCATAAATGTGTTCTTCTCCACCGACCAATTTTGTCCCTTGTTCTCATTGTGTTCGACTAGGTTCGCCGTTGTTTTGTTGCGTCATTTGATCCTTTAGTTGCATTGGCCAATGCAACCTCATGCCCGCGCACCAGTTTACCGGCGAACCCAGTCGAACACAATGACAACAAGGGACAAAATTGGTCGGTGGAGAAGAACACAGTCTAGCTTTGTCCTGCTTACTCAATGTTCGAGTTTCTGCGTCGTATAGCAGTCGATG